ATACGAGTTTTAAAGGAGTAGAAGAAGAAACAAGACGACCAAACGTGATGGAAAGCTGCGCTCAGCTTATTTATGTTGCTTTTGAATGTACTGTAATTAGACTGCACCGTTCGGTCCTGGCTACAACCTGGAATACACAAGCAGTCTGTGTTACCCGACTGACTTGTTGCTCTCTGTGTTCAGTAACTCTGTTGTGATCTGGCTATTTCCTGGACTCTCTCTCTTTCACAGCTGATGTGTTTTAAAACTCACTAAAGAAACATCTCAAAGTCAGCTGACATGTTTTTTTAACCTCTGAAGCTTTCAGCCACATCTCGTGACTTTGTTGCTAAGGCGACAAATAAACCGTCTCCAGTCAGGCGCCGTTACAAAAGTCAAACGGTTTTTACAGCGGCCGAAGACGGCGGACGCCGAGTGCTGTCAGAATTCAGTTTCTGAAGGTTTTAGAGTTTATATTTACAGAGCAGGCGATAGACTGACCCGGAAAACGATGAATTCTTTAAAAGTCAAAACAGACGTAGCATGAGAAGAAAGACGATAATGTTCCTGAGAGTTCAGAGCCAATCACCTTCAGGTACAGCGTGAAAACAAACCCATGACATCATCACTTTATCCGCTCGACGAGGCGCCCGAGTTTCATGAAGCTCGTCAGCGTTGAGATTCTCTGCATGTCGCATCAGAAACAAAACATCGTCTCAGTAAAAATCGGATTGTTTTGGGTCCACAGCGCTCGGACAGATTTCAGCCGCCATGATGCTAACGGTCAGGTAGCGTTTGATCAGAACTTGTAGACGCTCCGATATGAACTTCAGTGAAAGCGAGCTCACCATTTAGCATATTTCTGGGTTTGCAAAGTTAAGTCGAGCAGCTTAGCAAACATTCAAGTTAGCTCGCTGCATTAGCCTGCGTAGCGCTGACGGACATCGGCGTGCAGCAGAGCCTTGTACCTTATCTGTGAGTTTCTGTGGCTACTGTTTGAGCTAACGTTACGAAACAACGCAGAAAACGTTCTGATTAAATATTAAAATAAAAAATTAACTTCATTAATTTAACCTTCTCTCAAGCTAGCTGGCGACGTCGACAACGGAGAAGATCCCCTAAACGTCTCTACAGAGAAACATCGACGTGTTCCTGTAAACATCAGAGAAGTTCAACTTCCTGTTTCTAACGGTCCAAACTCACATTTCAAATATTTGATCAACAATTTATTCACAAACATAAAATTGTTTAATTAAGTCGGCCCTGGCTACGTCATGGAGCACAAACAGTCTGACTTTTGTGTGTTTCCTTGTCCGGCCGTGGTTATTTCCTGGACGCCTTTCACATCTTTCTGTCTTAACTTTTTTCTGATTTCTGCGTCTTTGTTTTTCGCCGCCTGGTTGAGACTTTGTGTTTTTATTTATTACTTTCAAAGACATTTTGTCGACCTCTCGTTCAGATATTATGAAACCTCTTTTCTTTTTGTTTCGAGGTTTTCTCCGAAATAAAACGTTGAATTTATCGATGTGTTGAGATGTTTTAATGCATGAAAACGCGACGTGTGAGGAACATGTTTTAAAGATTTATTTTCTGTCTCGTTCATCCTGGGATCCAAATGTCTCGATGAAATCTAAACGATTGTGTATCGCTTTGCTTTTCTGATAATGCTACTCGTTAATCTGCTGGGCTGCGTCTAAATCCTGGATCACATGACTGTAATTTGTTGTGACTCCTCCCCCCGTGTTGGGGAAACCAAACGATGCAGTAACAAAGAAAAGTGAAACTGCGACTGAGCTCTTCAATATTCCTGCCGGGCTGGGTCTACTTCTTGCTTCTAACAACATATCTTTATGTTATTTTGAAAATTATCTTAAGTCTGTTTCCTGTGATTATATAAAGAGAAACGTATGAAGTTTAACTCTCTGACAGGATGTGGTCGACGCACTTCTTGTCTGCTCTGCCTTTGTTTCTCCTTTTTGGAGACTGACTATATCCTGGAGTGAGCGTCCAGGATATAGTCTCCTGGTGACTGGGATGTGACTATGTCCTGGATGTTATGCTTGTAGCAGAGTGTTTTATGTCGTACCTGCCTGCCTGTATATTTCAGCTTTAATTTTGTTTGTACACTGCAAAAAAGACGACGACTTTTAAGGAAAGACAAGTCGTTCAACCAAACTTCAGGATGTTATTTACGTCACTTAGGAACAGAGGAGACGTGTAGGAAATATTAACGTGACTGTAAAAAAAACTGTTTGATTTAACGAGAGAAAAGTCCTGAAGATGATCGAGCGGCTGCACTGTAAAAATAAACACGCACTGCGGGGTCGGTCTATGTGCTGGGCAGACACCGGGCCGGTAGCTTTGTTTTGTTTTTGTTTGTAATGTTTGAGTCTGTATATATTCACACGCTGTCACATGACTTCTAATTGTATGAAGAATCAACTGATCTATTTATGAGACGGATATCGATCATGACGCTAATTGTTGTAACGACGAGAAAAATATAAAATACTGAAGCCGACGTGTCTGATTCTCTTCTTGTTCTAAATCCACTCTGATCCTGTATTTGATCATGTCTATAAACCCCTCTATTTCAGCCCTGCTCAGAAAAGGCTGTTTCTGTGTCTGTACCTTTAAATATGTAAATGAGCTGTGTTTGACCACGCCCCCTCTCTGGAAGGGCTTGGGTGTCTCGGTCTTTCTCGCTCCATGTCCTATTGTTTACGGTGAGAAGGCAGACTCAGAGGGCAGAACAAACACCTAGCTGTGGGAGTGTCACCCACCTGGGGGAGGGGCTACTGCCCTTTGTGATGTCATGAAGGGAAAATCTCCAAACGGCCTGTTTGAGCACACATTTTCTGAAAAGTGGAGCAGGGAGAAGATGGAGAGGATGGACTTTTCTCATCATTGGGGGGTTTGAAGAAGGACTACAGACACATGTTAGAGTTAAAGGAACATGGAGAAGAGGATTTAAATAACGTGACCTCTAAAATTAAAGAAGATAAATGCACCTTTTGCTTCACATGAATATTTAAACTGTAATTGATTTAATTGGTTTTATTTGTAAATCAACCATTCATCATGATTTTTATTTATTTAACCAGGTTGGTCCCATTGAGATTAAAAACCTCTTACCTGGCCAAGACAGGCAGCAGCAAAAACACAAAGAGAGACAAAGCACAACATTTGGATTAAAATAGACTTTTATGGGCTCAGTCTACTTCCTGGACTTTCAGTCTGACTCGATAAGAGAAGACGTCCCGTGACTTTTAATCTTTAAAAAGTTTTCTCGTTAAATCGTTTTAAAGTTTGTTTCTCTTGTTCTCTTTTCATCTCTGCAGGTTACCGTACATCTGCTCTGTGATTTGACTCCGCCCCCTTCCTCCCACAATCCTCTCTGTTTTTGTTGAGTAAACTTTTTTCGGAAAGGAGGTCGAGGGGTTTCTCAGCGGGGAGACGCCGCCGCGCTCGGCTCTAATTAGCTGTCCGCTCCTTCCTGTCCCGCAGAGAGAGACAGATTAGAGAGGTGACCGCTCGCCGCTGACGGGGTCCGCCTTAACGAGATAGCGTCTGATTGGTCGGGTCGAGGGGTTAATTGAAGGAGAGGAAGTGATGAGTTCTTTAAAGAGTGGATTTAATTAAACGGAGCGCTCCGAGGGAGACGGACTGTTCTGTTTTTATTCAACTGTTTCAAACTTTATTTATAACTTCTGTTTCTGTGAGACGTTCAGGAACCTGTTCACGCTCCTCTGTTTCTGTGAGACGTTCAGGAACCTGTTCACGTTCCTCTGTTTCTGTGAGACGTTCAGGGACCTGTTCACGCTCCTGTTTCTGTGAGACGTTCAGGGACCTGTTCACGCTCCTGTTTCTGTGAGACGTTCAGGGACCTGTTCACGCTCCTCTGTTTCTGTGAGACGTTCAGGAACCTGTTCACGTTCCTCTGTTTCTGTGAGACGTTCAGGGACCTGTTCACGCTCCTGTTTCTGTGAGACGTTCAGGGACCTGTTCACGCTCCTGTTTCTGTGAGACGTTCAGGGACCTGTTCACACTCCTCCTCTGTTTCTGTGAGACGTTCAGGAACCTGTTCACGCTCCTGTTTCTGTGAGACGTTCAGGGACCTGTTCACGCTCCTGTTTCTGTGAGACGTTCAGGGACCTGTTCACACTCCTCCTCTGTTTCTGTGAGACGTTCAGGAACCTGTTCACGCTCCTGTTTCTGTGAGATGTTCAGGAACCTGTTCACGCTCCTGTTTCTGTGAGACGTTCAGGGACCTGTTCACGCTCCTGTTTCTGTGAGACGTTCAGGGACCTGTTCACGCTCCTCTGTTTCTGTGAGAGGTTCAGGGACCTGTTCACGCTCCTCTGTTTCAGTGAGACGTTCAGGGACCTGTTCACGCTCCTGCTCTGTTTCTGTGAGAGGTTCAGGGACCTGTTCACGCTCCTCCTCTGTTTCTGTGAGAGGTTCAGGGACCTGTTCACGCTCCTCTGTTTCTGTGAGAGGTTCAGGGACCTGTTCACGCTCCTCTGTTTCTGTGAGAGGTTCAGGGACCTGTTCACGCTCCTCCTCTGTTTCTGTGAGAGGTTCAGGGACCTGTTCACGCTCCTCTGTTTCTGTGAGAGGTTCAGGGACCTGTTCACGCTCCTCTGTTTCTGTGAGACGTTCAGGGACCTGTTCACGCTCCTCCTCTGTTTCTGTGAGACGTTCAGGGACCTGTTCACGCTCCTCCTCTGTTTTTGTGAGTTTACATGTTTGGTGTTCAAAAGAAGGAAATCAAACATCACATCTCAGATTCCTTCTGTCAGTATTTTATTTCTTGTCCTAAGTTGAAGTCACTGAAAGTTCCCAGCATCGTGTCCGGAGGAATTTAACCCAAAAAAGACAGGAGGAAAGTTAAAGGAGGAGTCAGTAGAAATGTTTGTAAACATTCAAACTAGGCCCCTCCTCCTCCTGAAGCTCCGCCCCCTGCAAGACGTAGTGTGTACATTTACTGCTAGTACCTACACTGCGAGCTAACGCACGCACGCAACAGGAAGTAGCTCAACGCCACGTCCACGGGTAAAAGACAACACAAGGTTCACCCTCGTTTTAGAACGATCTTTATCCACTTGGTGTTTCTCCTCACTCTCATTAGATTTTCTCTTCTTTGCTGCTACGTCCTCGTCCGTCATATTCACTCCTAAACTCACCTGCTGCGCTGTCATTGGCTGGAGGAAACACACCAGCTCCGCCCACAAACGTCCCGAGTCAACCAGAACAAATCAGAACAGTAAGATCCAGTCAGAGGACAGAGTCTCTGCAGACACAGTCACCACCACACATGTACGGAGGCCCAGAAGGGACAGACCTCAAACTACAAATCTGAGTTCAGAGTGACAGCAAACGTTTGTTTTTAGTGATGGAAGAACTCCGATCATCTTTCTGACAGGGGAACATGAGGAGGTGAAAAGGACAGGTGAAAGGAGAGAGGAGGAGGAAGAAGAGAAACGAGAGGAGAGGGTCAGAAAGAGGGGAGAGGAAAGAGGAGATGAAAGGAGAGGAGAGAAGGGGGCGAGGAGTGACGGGAGGATTAGAGGAGGAGATAAAAGAGAGGGAGGGTGGAGAGGGCAGGAGGTGAAATGAAAGGAGAGATTAGAGGACGCTCGCTCCTCTGTGAACGCTGGAGTCAGGAGGGTTGTCATGGTAACAGAATATTAAACTTTGATATGATTCTAGTAAAAATCTTTGATGGATTCATTCCTCTCTGAGCTTTCAGACAGGTTGCTGATAACTGCTCTCCTATCTGACAAAATGAGGGGTGTCCAAAACGGCCGTGTGTGGGGGGGGGGTGTGTCTTAAAAGCGCCTACCTTCTCTGGTCCAAACAAATCCAGAGCATTCAGGAGCAGAATGTAAAGTTAGAAGGAGGACATACTGGCTGCTGCATTGTTGTTAGAGAAGCCAGCACTTCAACATAGCATGTTTCCTTAATGATCAGATAGTAAGATACCTTTATCATCTCACTCTCTACACAGCTCTCTGATTGGTCCTTTAATGATCAGATAGTAAGATACCTTTATCATCTCACTCTCTACACAGCTCTCTGATTGGTCCTTTAATGATCAGATAGTAAGATACCTTTATCATCTCACTCTCTACACAGCTCTCTGATTGGTCCTTTAATGATCAGAGAGTAAGATACCTTTATCATCTCACTCTCTACACAGCTCACTGATTGGTCCTTTAATGATCAGAGAGTAAGATACCTTTATCATCTCACTCTCTACACAGCTCTCTGATTGGTCCTTTAATGATCAGAGAGTGAGATACCTTTATCATCTCACTCTCTACAGAGTTCAGTGATGTTCATCATGCGGGGTTAGGGGTCAGACCGGTGAAGTCCAGAGACCCTGAGGTGAAACGATGAGTCAGCAACTTTTTAACACATCAGAGATACAAAAACAAATGTGTGACTGAAGGTCCTCACAAGTACAGAGGAACAGACAACGTGTGTGTGAGGAGAGGAGCACGATGATGTAACAGGGCTCCCTGAACGCCCCGGGAAACCAGGGGGGCGATCCCGTCTGAGCGAGAGAGAGAGAGAGGGGGGGAGAGAGAGAGGGGGGAGAGAGAGAGAGAGGGGGGAGAGAGAGAGGGGGAGAGAGAGGGGGGGAGAGAGAGAGAGGGGAGAGAGAGAGGGGGGAGAGAGAGAGAGAGGGGGGAGAGAGAGAGAGGGGGGAGAGAGAGGGGGGAGAGAGAGAGAGGGGGAGAGAGAGAGAGGGGAGAGAGAGGAGGTAAAAGTCGGGTTACAGAGTTTAAAAAATTCACGAGTTTTTCTCCTGCAGAGGCTCGCTAAATATAGAGTGTGTGTGTGTGTGTGTGTGTGTGTGTGTGTGTGTGTGTGTGTGTGTGTGTGTGTGTGTGTGTGAGTGTGTGTGTGTGAGATGACAGAATCTGTCAGTTTGTTTTCATACATTTGTGACGACACATGTCTCTTTACTGTCCTTCAATTATCACTAAACTGAAAAACCCGACCACCGAGGACAGTGAATGCACCATCAGAGAGGACTGTCATTGTCAGACTCTGTCAGAGGACAGTGAATGCAACACCACAAAGACCATTAAATAAAATAAAAACAGAAAGCGTTACCAAAGACAGGAATGAAGAGAGGTCAGTAAACGCATCACCAGAGAGGGCGGATGAAACATCACAAGAGGACAGTAAATGCAACACAGAGAGGGGCGCCGGATGGCCTAGTGGTTATGTTGCACAACCCACATGTACGGACGCTATAGTCCCGGTCGTGGGTTCAAATCCGACCTCATCCCTTCGCTGCATGTCGTCCCCCGCTCTCTCCTTCTGACATTTCTGTTTTAACTTATCACAATGGAGGACTTGAATGCATCACAAAGGAGTGACACAACTAGGGGACCATAGAGGCATCTCTCGGGAGGACAGTGAATGCATCACCAGTCAAAGTGAAGGCGTCATGAGAGAGGACAGTGAATGCATCACCAGTCAAATCTCTGACGCAGAAACCTGGGC